TAAGCAAATTCTAAGCTTCAGAGCCAGAACGCCAAGCATCATGGTCTCTTTAAACGCTGACTCTAGATACACATTTTCACACGCAAAAAATATCATTATATGCTGTGTTGTAAGTTCCTACATTCAAGTTTACAAGAATCTATTGCACAAGTACAAGACTTGGGTTGGCAGCATGTTGAGTGAAAAAGAGCTGTGTGTAAAAAAAAAAAGAGCTGTGTGTGTAAAATGACCACAAGCTTAGCATGAACAAACAATGTCATGTGACAGTTTAAAATGCAAATACAACTTTAGTCTAATAGAAGTCATCCAAGGGGCGCCTGGGTGGCTCAGTTGGTTAAGCAACTGCCTTCAGCTCAGGTCATGATCCTGGAGTCCCGGGATCGAGTCCCGCATCGGGCTCCCTGTTCAGCGAGGAGCCTGCTTCTCCCTCTGACCCTCCCCCCTCTCATGTACTCTCTCTCATTCTCGCTCTCTCAAATAAATAAATCTTTAAAAAAAAAAAAGTCATCCAGATAATAAAAGCAATAGTCTCATCATTCTCTGCATTAATTAGAATAAACATGGAGTGTTGCGTTCAGTTCAAAGCATCAAATTTTAAGGGTGATATCTCTTACCCACCTCTTTCTTTCCATTACCACTACTAGATTCTCATCTCATATCTGGTAGATTGTTTCCAAAGATGGTCCAGCAATCAATCCCTCCAGGGCACAAGCCTTTTGCAGTGTCACTTTGCTACTCCTCCCATCTAGAGGTGGAGTCTATTTCTCCTACCCTTGAATCCAGGCGCGCCCTGTGTCTTTCTTTAATCACTGAGAAGGGATGGGGTTTGACTTACAGACCTAGGCCTTAGATTAGACAATTAACTTTCAAAAAGTGTTTTCATCATCTACCAAAAAACAAAATTTTAATAGTTCACTGGTTCACACATTTTGGGGGGAGAGGGAATAGGAAGGAAATTTGAGAGAACCTATTAGACACATCAATTCATTTAATTCCTTTAGTCATCTTTTTCAGACTAAGGAAATAGAAGTTCAGAGATGTGATTTGCCTAAGGACCTAAAACTAGTTAGTGCCAGAGGTAAAATTCAAAATCAAGCCTTCGGATTTCCCAACACACCACAATGCCTTTCCTATCAGGAATAAAAATTTCTGCCAGCCTTCTGAGATTTTCCATGATCTGGTCACCTAAGTAATTATTTCCAGTTAATGCCTTAACTCTTACCAGACTGATCTCATTTCTGCTTCCCTTCACCTGCCAGTCTTCTAATTCTACCCATCATTCAGAGTCCAGTTTAAGTCTCCCTTTTTCCTTCCATGAAACTTTCCTCATCTTAATCCCAATTTATTTCCCTCTCCTCTTAATTTTGACCTCACTTATAGTAGGCACCACATAACGTAGCACTCTGTTACATTGTTTTTCCTTTAAAGAGACCGTAAACTCTTCAGTGTGGACAGCTCCGGTCCATACTAAATCTTTGAAGGGTGGCAGTCCTTCCAAATTTCCTATTTCCCTTTGAGCCATGATAGGTACTTCTGGAATGATGAATGAACTAAACTCAACAGACAAATACTTCTTGATTAAAGTCAGCCCCAAACTCTCGTGTTTTAACCTCTGCTTAATCTACCGCGCATCAACTGATCCGCAGAGATTGAGTGCCGAGTGGAGACGGTAGTCCGGCCACGTAACGCTCCCCGCCCGCTTCGGCAAGCCACGCCCAGCCGGCCGGCCGCCGATTGGGCGTGGCCCAGCCTAGGGTGGCCGATTGGGCGTGGCGTGCGTGAGTGAAGGCGTGGCCGAAAGGAGAAAACTACGTTCTGGATCGGACTCGGTAGTCTCCGGGAATCCTCGACAATTTTCGGCAACGGTCTCCTCCTTCGCCGATCGGCCTCGGGCGTTTCCGGCCTCCTTCGAGCTTTTCCGTCTGGCTCCCGCGCGGATCTCTCCACTTCGGGTATTTCCGTGTACCGCTCGGAGGTACTCGGTAATCGCTCGGCCTCCCCCATCCCCCGGTAACGGTCGCTGGTGAGTTTAAATGAGCCGGGGCTGGCCGGGCCGGAGCCGCTACGGGGGGGGCCTGAGGCACTGCAGAAAGTGGGCCTGAGCCTCAAGGATGACGGTGCTGCAGGAACCCGTCCAGGTAATGATAACCCCGCAGCGCTGAGGCTTGGCTCGCAGCCTCGGCCGGGAAGCCGCGTATGGCCACTCCGCGGCCTGGTGCGGCCTAGGCCCGGCTGCTTCTCCCGCCTCCCCTGCTGCCGGGTCCTGCCTGTCTTCTCGTCGGCTCGGAGGCCTTGCCCGCAGCCCGAGTCGTGTTACCTCAGGTCCTGCGTTGCTTCCACCCGTGTGAGCGCGGTTCGGCGATAATGCCAGCGTCCGGCCGGCCCCTCCTGTCAGTCCAGGGGCCTGGCCCCGGCTGGGGTGAGAGAGGAGGGGCGGGCGGGGGGGTGAGGGGGGGCGCCGAAAACTCGCCCCAGGTGCTCTCTCGCCCGGAGGATAGTTGGGAGGCACCTTTGATCAGAGCTTGGGCTACCTTCGTAATGGTGGGGCAAGTTGGCGGGGGGTGTTTGGTTTTGTTTTTGTGCTCTGGGAGGAGAAGGTGGAGGGACGATAGGATCGGTATTTTTAATCCCGATTTCTGTTTTGGTAACAGACTTCCTAGCCCACGTTGCTTTCCTCGCTCAGTGAATTCCACCACCCCCCCCCCCCCACACAATGATCTGGGAAGAGAAAACTCCAAGGCCCAGTGCTGAGGGGCAAGCACCTCTACGAGGGGAGGGGGTGGCAACGGCAAATCTGGGGGTTTTCCCCGTGACCTGTGATGGGGATCAGGAGTGTTATTGTGCATGTTGATAAGGCGTTCAGGAAATGAAAGACAGGGTTTTTACATCCATTTCACTGTCCTTACGACACCAGGGTATGCTTTGACGCACAGTACTCTGTGGGCATGGGAGAAACCCTATTGGATTTGAAGTGTGATGCAGTGCCAAGTCATTTTCCCCCTGCCATCTCAAGAAACTGAATCTTTTGTCCCTTACTGATGGACCAGGTCTGGGAGACTCACCGTAGGATCTTTGCCTTGAATAGAAGGGTTGACCTCTACCAGCTGCTGTCATTGAGTTATGGGCTTGCTTTATTTTGAAGTTACAAAGCAAATCGATTTTAGAAATTACTTCACATTACCCTTAATAGGCCTGTGATGTCAAATGATAAATATTTTAATGCATCGCCACGTCCGTATTTCCTTAGTTTTTCTTCGCAGGATGAGATAGAAATTTCTCCCAGTTGGCTTCTTCTTTACATACAGCTCTTTACATATAACAGCTATTAGTATGTGAACTAATGTAACGTGGGATTCTGTCTTAGGAAATTTACCTGTTTGTAAGTTGTATCAATGCTTCCAAAGCTATTTCTTGCCATACAAATTCCTCTTTCTGGTAAAGAGTCCCTTTTAAGATTATTTTTTTGAGGCCTAATGTGAAATTAAAAGTTATCTGTACCTTCTTAAATGGGTAAGCAGATCACTCAAGTTGTTTAATTTCTGTTTCATATTCTTGTAATTTTGTCTTAACTAATGATACATTTGCTTTCTTTGGCCCCAGAAGTCTTCTCAAATGATAAACTAGTTTCATTGTTAGCCTTTAACCACTATTTAATAACAATTTCAATCTGTATACAAACATGGAGAAGAAAAGAAATGTGTAGCCTACTCCTAGATGATACCCATCAGCTTTACTCTTTTTTCCTTACTCTTAGCAGTAATGCACTTCAGGGTTTTACCATGGAATAGCCAGTCTGATAAACCACCTAAGCCTAAATCTTAGCTCCTCCTCCAAATTGTCTCTCATAGAAAAGCATTACTTTATATATGAGTCTTTACAAGCATCTCTCCTATTATGAGGCAGAAATTCTGTCAATTATTTTTAATATAACTGGGGAAGACACACTAGCCTAAATGACTTCAATCAGTGTTAATTTGGATATTTATAAAATTCACCTGATGAAATTGATTTTATTTATTTTTTTAAATTTTATTATGTTATGTTAGTCACCATACAATACATCATTAGTTTTTTTTTTTTTTAAAGATTTATTTATTTATTTGAGAGAGCGAGAATGAGAGAGAGAGTACATGAGAGGGCGGAGGGTTAGAGGGAGAAGCAGGCTCCCCGCCGAGCAGGGAGCCCGATGCGGGACTCGATCCTGGGACTCCAGGATCATGACCTGAGCCGAAGGCAGTCGCTTAACCAACTGAGCCACCCAGGCGCCCCACATCATTAGTTTTTGATGTAGTGATGAAAATGATTTTTAAAAAAGTGAAGACATTTTAATGGATTTATCAATTATTCCTGGGGATAGAACTTCACAGAAGTGTTGGATGAAGTTATAAACAAGGCTTGTAAAAATCGCCTTAATAAGCAGTATAGTAAGTGGATACTATACACATAGTACTGTTTTACAGATCATTTAGATAGTGAAGGAATACTTTTGGCTTGGAATAAGATGTACAGGGACAGCATTTTTTTAAAATTTTTTTTAAGATTTATTTATTTGAGAGGGCAGAGGGGGAGAGAATCCCAAGCATACTCCATGCAGAGCTTGGAGCCTGACATGGGACTGACACGGGGCTTGATCCCACGACCCTGAGATCACAACCTGACCTGAAACCAAGCATCAGACGCCTAACCCACTATGCCACCCAGGCACCCGTACGGTTACAGCATTCTAATATGGATTCAAAGGGTACCATATTTCAAATAACTTAGAATTGAAGGTATTGTATTCAGGTAAATTGTGTTAGATGACAAAAAAAAATGGCTTTGTTGATATCAAAGGTAGATGTGAACAGTTTTAGCAAAGTTGTTCAATGAAAATAGAAAAAAATTTCTAAATACTACATATTCTGTGATTTTTAAAATATATATGTGTAACTAAATTAATAAATCAATAGGCATTTGACTATGACTATTTGGTCTTTATTCAAAAAACTTACATACTTAAGTTAGCTGAACACATTTGTTTATGAAATTTTCTTTTGGAAAATAGGAGATTGCCTTATATTTAGGTACAATATAATATCTTGAAGACTGTGCTACATAGTACTGAACTGAGAGGATAAGCTTTGGGGAATGGGGTCATTGCAACTATATGATAATTTAATTCCTTTATGGACTAGTGTCCTGACATAGCCCTTTTTGTGCTTATGGTCTATAGAGAAAGCATTAGACAAATAATCACAAATTAATAATTACAAACTGTGATAAGGGCACTATAAATAGGGTGTTAGGAGAGAGACCTAATAGGAGGGACTTAACCTAAGCCCAGGTGTCAGGTTTGCAGTTGCAGTACCTCTTTTGGTAGTTCAAAACAGCAAAAAGTTAAGAAGCAGTCTCAATGAAAAAATCAAATTGGAAAGAATGTTATGCACCAGTTATTTACCAAGCACAGAAGAATATAAAAGACATATGAAAATCTTCTCTAAAAATGGTGTTGGGAAAGTCCTTTTTGAGCAAATAACATTGAAGCTGAGATCTGAAGGTTGAGAAGGAAATAGTAATTTGAAGAGCATTACAGGAAGAGAAAACAGCATGTGCAAAGTCCCTAAGACATAGCAGAACTTGGCATTGAAATAATTGAAAGGAGGCCAGTGTGGCTGGAGTTGCATATTAATGGGAGGCCATTATAAGAAGTTCAGTTTTCATTCTAAGTGTGTGGGGAGTCCTTGAAGGATTTTCAGAAGAGGATTGACTTGATCTGATGTAGATGTTAGATCTCTTGGTTACTATATGTGAAATGTAATGAGAGGAAGGAGGCAAAAGTACAAACAGTCTTAGGATGAAAGTAACTTAGACTAAAGTGGTAGTAGTGGAGTAGGAAAGAGGTTGATATTCAAGAGATGTTTTGGAGGTAGGACCAAGGAGAAATGGAAACTGATTGAATGGGAGAGCATGGGGATCAAGAACAGCTGCCTGGATTTCATTTTAGTGGCACCATTTAATAAATGAAGAATCCTTTGATAGGGGGACAAATCTGAAGGAGGACAACCTGTTTTGAACAAAATAAGTTAGAGATATTTGTGAAGCCAACCAGTAGAAATGTGGAGACATAACCTCTGATCTTTTGAGGGGTCTAGTCTTGTTGGGAAGGTAAGAATGTTTAACAGGAACAATTGGATAATGTTACAAGTCAGTATGTATTTGATTGTACAGATACTAATAAATTTAGGAAGTAGATCCTTGTAGACTGGAAAAATAGGAAGGGTTTCTTGATGGAGTAGAACTTAAAGCTTTAGAAGATGGGAAGGGCTTGAATTGGTAAAGAAGAGAAAGAATGTTTTTGGCATGGAACAGCATGAGCAAAAGCCCAAATTTGAGAATGGTGTTCAGGAACCAAAAACAAAACCAAACCAAAAAAAAAACAGTAAAATATCATAGCCTTGGTTAGAATGGGAATTGAGAGCAGGAAGAGATAAGGTTTTGCTAGCCAGGGAGAATCAGATTATACAGGATTTAACATCCAGGTTGAGGGGTTTTAAGGTCTTGGTAATAAATAGCCATTATAAGTTTTCAACAGAAGAATTTGTAATGAAAGCACTGCTTTGGGAAGATTAATTTGGTGCTATTGGGAAGGAGGGACAAGATAAGAGTTAGGGAGACATACAGGGTAGTAAAATAATCCAATTACATGGTAATGTACACCAGGGTTTCTCATTCTTGGCACTATTGACGTTGGGGCAAGCTAATTCTTTGTTGTGGGGGACTCTGTCCTATGTATTGTAGAGTGTTGTGCAGCCTCCCTGGCCTCTACCAACTAGGTGCCCCCTCCCTCTGTGACTACCAAAAACACCCCCCCCCCCGACATTACTAAATATCCCTTGGAGGGGGCGGGGGCAAAATCACCCAGATGGAGAACCACTGATGTATACCTAAACTAAATTAGAGTTCTAGAAATTAGATTGTAACATAAACAGGAAAATTCCACAGTGATTTTTTTTTTCCTTATACCTTCTTATCTTGTCTGAAGCTTTTAGTATCCATTTCTCCATTTCTTTTATGGTCCAAAAAAGGGCAGCTATTTTCTTTTGACAAAAATAAGAATAAAACAAAGTAATTTATATGGTCACATTTAAGACTGAATTAG